ATCCAATAGTGTAATATGTATAAGAGAAATAAAAAACAAAGGGTTAATACCCTACTTACAATTTCCAGAGCACTAAACTTGCTCTGGTGGTGAACGCTTGTGGTTGTATGATCCCCACCAAGGGATATAAGCAGGATCCAAGGTGCACAGGAATAAGAGGTAGATCAAAGCTGGAAACAAACTACAACTTTATTATTAAAATAAAAAATCTTGAATATAAAATCTACAATAAAAATTTCAAAGTCCAGACAAAAAAAAGTTCAAAGTCCAGACTTCTTGATCCACTTTACGCGTTTCGCCCAAATGGGGGCTTCTTCAGAAGTATAGATAATTGGGAATGTCAGTTCAGTCCTTATATAGGGTGTCAATTTCATAATCCCGGTATGTGCACTCTTCCTGCTTCCGGCCGGTCGCGCGCGCCAACCGGTAGTGACGTAACGCGACCTGCAGGGGCTGATGGGACGTGTAGTCCTAATGCTGTTCGTAGTTCCGGTAGTTGCGTGCGTCTCCCGGAAATGACGTCACGCGACTAGCGGTCCATTCTGGGGGGAGTAGTTTATACACCATCCTCAAAACAAGGGAAAATTAAGAACGGTTATACATATATACTAACTGTGAAAAGCTGTCAGTTCTTAATGTATTTTAATGACAGCCTATGTGGCAAAGCTTATTGGTTGAGCATACAGTAATTACATTGTATAATTAACAAGATTTTATAAATATATAACAACAATTAAAGGGCTAGTATATTTAGCCATAGAGACATACATTAGACTCTATCCAGAATAAAAGAACACCAATATTGTTAAAAAATACATGTGCAAAGAAAATCTTTATATAGTAGCAACATAAAAGAGGTGTATGGTATCACTAAAATTTGAATGTAAAAAAATCATTCATGTAAAGAAAGGAAAAAGTATAAAAGTATATAAAAAAATATGTAAAAAATATATATAAAAAAAGTATAAAAAATATATAAAAAAATAAAAATACATGTTAAAAGAATTTTACAAAAAATTAAAAAGGTCAAATTCAGCACTGAGTCCATTGGGTTGTAGTGTATCTAAAAAATACACTCACTCCATCTCTTTTTTTACCCAATTTATTAACCATATCACCACCTCTCCAATGTTGGGATACTTTTGTGATGCCAATACATTTAAGTAGGCATGGGTCATTATTGTGGAGTGCAAAGTGAGAAGATACAAGATGATTTTTAAAACCCTTTTCTATATTTCTACAGTGCTCTCCAATTCTTGTTTTTAGGGGTCTTATAGTTCTTCCTACGTATTGTAGACCACACGGACATTCTAATAAATAGATGACATTCTTACTCATACATGTGATGGTGTCTTTAATCTCGTATTTTTTATTAGTATTATTTGATTTAAAATCCACAGTATGTTTGTTAATTTTTGGGGTTTTCTTACAAGCTATACAGCAGTTGCATCTAAAAAAGATTTTCTTTGCACATGTATTTTTTAACAATATTGGTGTTCTTTTATTCTGTATAGAGTCTAATGTATGTCTCTATGGCTAAATATACTAGCCCTTTAATTGTTGTTATATATTTATAAAATCTTGTTAATTATACAATGTAATTACTGTATGCTCAACCAATAAGCTTTGCCACATAGGCTGTCATTAAAATACATTAAGAACTGACAGCTTTTCACAGTTAGTATATATGTATAACCGTTCTTAATTTTCCCTTGTTTTGAGGATGGTGTATAAACTACTCCCCCCAGAATGGACCGCTAGTCGCGTGACGTCATTTCCGGGAGACGCACGCAACTACCGGAACTACGAACAGCATTAGGACTACACGTCCCATCAGCCCCTGCAGGTCGCGTTACGTCACTACCGGTTGGCGCGCGCGACCGGCCGGAAGCAGGAAGAGTGCACATACCGGGATTATGAAATTGACACCCTATATAAGGACTGAACTGACATTCCCAATTATCTATACTTCTGAAGAAGCCCCCATTTGGGCGAAACGCGTAAAGTGGATCAAGAAGTCTGGACTTTGAACTTTGAATTTTTATTGTAGATTTTATATTCAAGATTTTTTATTTTAATAATAAAGTTGTAGTTTGTTTCCAGCTTTGATCTACCTCTTATTCCTGTGCACCTTGGATCCTGCTTATATCCCTTGGTGGGGATCATACAACCACAAGCGTTCACCACCAGAGCAAGTTTAGTGCTCTGGAAATTGTAAGTAGGGTATTTACCCTTTGTTTTTTATTTAATACTCTTATACATATTACACTATTGGATTTTATTTGTGCTTCTATTCTATACACGTCTGTGGAGCCTTGGAAACCAGATACCACCACCATATCCTTAGACGGGGATCATACCGTCCAGGCGCTATTCAGCAGAGCTCTTAGCAGCTCTGAAAAGTGTGAGTTGGTCCTTCTACTGGTTCTCGTTAATATCTCACTATTGTATTATTTTATACTGGCATATTGCACTATTATTTCTATTTTTATCCTTTTAAGGTTTTTATTTACTACCTCAACACTGGGATAACTTGTATGTATGTACATTTTTGTTTAATTATCCTCTACTATTCTGTGGCGCGGTTTACCACTTTGTTATTGCATTTTCGCAACTATGGTGTCAGGAATACATGTTTGTATTCCTGACACTATAGTGTTCCTTTAAGCAAATTAAAGTAACATTCTGGTCACCATAACAACTTCATCTAAATGAAAATGCTATGATGCCAGGAAAACCCTGGGTGCTCTCTTTCCTTTAAGGGGTTAAACCGCTCTCAAATGGTTTAACCCCAAAGGCTTCCACCAGCTCCAGATTTCCAGGTCGCTCAGTGATATTCAGCTTCTGAAACGGAGTGTCAGGAAGTGCAGATTGACATCAGGCATGGGTGATACAGATTGGCCAGAGTGGTCAGTTGACGCTCTAAGCCAATCACTAGATCCCGGTTCATAAAAATGTTTTACTTTTTTATGAATGGGGAGCTACTGATTGGCTTAGAGTGCCAGCTGACCGCTCTAGCCAATCAGCGACACCCCTCCCCAGCGGCCATCTGTGCTTCCTGACACTCAGTAAATAAAAGTGAACACATTAACACTGATATTTTTTTACCTGGGGAGATGAGAAGGTCCAAAGATTCCCTGCCAGGCCCAGGTACCAAAGCCTTATGATGTGGTATCCAGAATAAAGTGCACTTTCACTTCACTTGTCCTTCCTGCTCCAATCTCCTTTTCTTCTCCTTCATTTGACATAGTCTTCTTTTTCTTCTGACACTGTCTTCTCTCCTCCTTGGCTCCTTCTGCTCCTTTACCTTTCTGCTTATTGTGCTCCCCCTTCTGCTTCTGTCTTTCTCTGATCTTTATGCTCCATGCAGACCCTTTCTGCTCCTTTTCCTACTTTACCTTTGTGCTCTTTGCTGTCCCTTTCTGCTCCTTGCTACCCTTTTCTGCTCCTTCTATTACTTTACCTTTGTGTTCCTTCTGATTCTTTCTACTACTTTACCTTTGTGTTCCTTCTGATTCTTTCTGCTCCTTTACATTTGTGTTCCTTCTGTCCCTTTATGCTCTTTGCAGACCATTCCTTCTCCTTGCAGACCCTTCCTACTCCTTGCTGCCCCTTGCAGACCCTTCCTGCTCATTTCTGTTCCTTCTCCTACTTCACCTTTGTACTCTTTCTGTACCTTCCTGCTCCTTGCGGCCATTTTCAGCTCCTTGCTCACCCTTTCTGCTCCTTCTACTTTACCTTTGTGCTGCTTTAACTTCAAGCTCCTTGCTGACTCTTCCTGCTCCTTGCTAACCCTTCGTACTCCTTGCAGACCCTTCCTTCTCCTTGTTGACCCATTCGTGCTCCTTGCAGACCCTTCCTGCTCATTTGTGTTCCTTCTCCTACTTTAACTGTTGTGCTCCTTGCTGTCCCTTCTGCCCCCCCATGCCTCACTTCCCTGATCTGTAGGCTCTTTCCCCCCCATCACTCACCTGATCTGTAAGCTCTCCCCCCCCATCACTCACTTACCTGATCTGTACCTGGCTGCATGTGTTGCTCCCCTGCGGATTCAGTCAGAGAGAAGCAGGGATAAGATGCAGCTTCCTATCCCTGTCTCTCTCCATAAACAGCTACAAACAAACTAGTTTTCCTGGCACTATAGGGTTAATAGGTCCCCTACCTCCCTCGGAGCCCCCTTAGAACCCCTTCAGCCCCTTACCTTAATCCAGCGCCGTGCTCCCTCTCCTCCTCCTGCCGACGTCAGCTCTGAATGCTCATGCGCGGCAATAGCCGTGCACGCATTCAAACCGCCCATAGGAAAGCATTACTCAATGTTCTGTCAATAGGTCAGGGTGCCTATTGTGGTCATTTAAGAAAGCTTCTCCAGACAGTCACCAATGGGGGGGAGGAGCCCTGCAAAAACACAACCTATTATAGAATTAAATAAATACAGCTTTTGTTATTTACAAATACTTTGGCAATGCCTAGAATATGTGAATGTGCTCCACCTGATCACATTACGGAGTTCCTCCAGTACTGGCTGAGGTGTCCCCTTGATAGGGATGTGAAAAACAAGTTGCCCATGTCCTACACTTCCCAACAAGGTGATGACTACTCCTGAATTTGACTAATTTCAATCATTTATAAAAGCTGTTGAGAGATCTGCCTTGAGCACCCCTGCAGATAAAATTCCACTGGTAATAGCACTGTTTCATTGCAATTGGAATTATCAGTGTAAGATGATTAAAATCTATTTATATTTAAAGCATTTTAAAACAATATTCCATTGTTTTATATTTTTCTTATTATGTGTAATCTGTACAATTTATTTAATCAATAATGATTTCAAAGTGAAATTGTAGTAAACATCTGAAAATATTCTGATATAGTAGATTACCGGTGACTGCAGTCTCCTTGTTTCTAACAATATTTTCCTCCTGCTAATTCATATCACACCAGCTTTTTATCAAAGCACTTGTTCCATATCCCTTGATTAAAGTGGATTATTAGGAAGATACTGGGCATTTTATAACAATAAGATTTCACCACAGTGTAAGCCCAAGACAAAAGGACTCTCCTGGCTCGTTTTCTGCATAAAGGAGTGCACGGTGATTTCTACCATTCACAGCATCAGTTGCAACCCCCTATGAGACGGCTGACATGGTGTGTGAGCATAACTGATAATACCTGATCGGTCACTTTGTACCACCCATTGTGTCCAACCCCCAATTACAGAGAGCTTTATTTTACCAGCAGATTAAACATCAAAGTCAACATATTTTATACAATGGTTGGTAACACACAAGGCAAGATTGTTATATATAATGTATGATGTTTGTGCCTGTTATGAAAAAAAGCCTTTGCAAGGAAAAATATAGCAGTTTATGCAAGCATTTTATTACAAGCATTCTGATAAAGCTTTTATGTTATTCGATGTACTTTAAAACTGACATTTTAGTTGGGATTCCAACCATGTATTTTAATGTTCTGTCTGGTAAAATTATATAATATTCCAAAGAAATCTGAACAGAAACTACTAAATGGAGTCAGGATAACTCCTCACAAATATGTGTGGGGTCCCTCCTCTATAAACGAGAACCTCTAAATGAATTAAGTATCCATAAATATGATATAAGCCTTTGGTATTGACGAAAAATAAAGCGGGATGGGAAGACCAACCACTTTAACTGTGCGGACTTCCACTCCACCAAAAGAAGTACCTTTAAAAGTAAAAATTCGTATAAGTGGTATAAATCTTTATTAAAGACGAATATTAGGATATTAAAATATAAAGAGCCTAACTAGAACAGTAGGTTCTATGTGAAAAACCAAAACCCAAACAAATGTGGCATTGTGAATAAACAGAGTGATAATACACCTTTAAAATTCTGGGTAAAGTAGTCTCAAAGGCCACTTCAAGTAGTAAGAGGATTTTAATAGCTATTATAAGTATTATCAAATTTGAGTAATTGAATAATTCAGTAGATCGATACCTCCAGAGTATCTAGGTAAAAGTAGTTAGTGGCTGTAGTGTATAGAGGTTGTAAAAAGTTGAAGCAAAACTAAGGAATAAACTGAATATAGTCAGACAGAAAAATCAGCAATAACAAGTGATATACACTGTATCCCGTTTGAATTGATACCTAACTTCCAGTAAAACGGAGTCTGTTAGCCACCGTACACTAATGGATACATAGTTGTCCTAATTAGATAGTGTTGCTAAGTGGACGTTATACACAGTTTACAAAGTATAGGTATTCTTGTCTATCCCTTCATTAGACCGGATTAATCAAAGGGTTCACTATGGTGTGAACCCTTTGTGTGGTTTAAAAGAAATCTGCCAAAGAATGGTCAGAGATGGCAATTGGAACATGGCTTAGCACCAGAAAGACACAATAAACCAAGAAGCTTTACAATCATAGAAAAAGGATATTAAGAGGTGAATAAGGTCGTGGTAGAATGAGCATACAATCTATGAGCAACTATTATGAACAATGGATGTGTGTGTGTATATATATATATATATATATATATATATATACCCAACCTTCTTATTAATAATGAATTTAATATTGTCTCTTTTACAAATATAAGTAGTGGAGGTGCCGCGGTTTATGGAGGAGCTGGGCCTTACACCGCTATCGGTCCCCAATTGGATCCTGGGACAACTGGGACCACCACTGCGACCACAAAGAATGCCTAGACATCGGGAAGCTGGCTCCCCTTTGGGTCAATCAACCAGACGGCGTAGGAATCCGGCATCCCCAGAAGAATGATTACACCCATCTGACCCATGTCGTACTACCAACCTTGGCAGCATTACCCTGACGTGGTCCCTGAGCCCCTCGATGTCACCTGATATGTGAACTGAGCGGCGGAGGCTGTCTATGGAACTATACGAGGTATAACAGGCTTTTTCCATGTGGGCTTTGGGTGGGGGGATCCCGGGACTGTGGAAATGCAAGGAGGGGATTATACACCTGGCATACCCCTACGTTGTCCCCGGTCCCGTGCCCCTTCCATCTGACCCCAGTAGGACTCTCTTCCTCAGGGGCCCAGACACCTTCACAATGCTATGGCGACATTGTGACTCTCACTCAGGGGACCCACAGATGAGCATTGCAACCCGACTTTCCTCCACCATTTGGAACTTATACAGGTTCACTGTTATGTCCGGGAAGTGCATGTGCACATAGCGTTCACACATGCCGGGTATTGCAGAGGGGGGTGGGGGGTAGGATAATGTGTAATGTTCTGTTAAACATGCAAACAAATAAAACTGAGGGAATAGGGGGTGAGGGGGGAAAGGTTAAAAAGGTGGGTGGGAAAGAGTGGGTTGGGGGAAAATGCAAAAAAAAAAACAAAAACATAATACTCTGCTGCTGACTTTGCCCCACCTTAGACCCCTCTCGCATTTGTAGATATTATGCTGTCCATACGGATAGACACACAACAGTAGGGGTTATAGCTATAGAGAGAAGGGGGAGGGGTCCGAGCAAAGGGGACCCACCCTGACCCATCCCCACGTGCGTGCGCGCACCAAAAAGTACACCTGAGATCCCTCCCACAAGACACATATATCTCATCGCACCAACAGATAACTTCACGGGCCAAACAAGCACATTCCTGAAATGACCTAACCCATAACGACATCCCACGCGGGACACACCAGGTGTCCCGATGGGGGGGGGGAAACTATCGACCACACTAGACAGGGAAGGGAGCCATGCCTAACATGACAATTGATCCTCCCCAGGTCAATGGGGTGGCTGTGACGTGATACACACTGGAAACGGGGAACCTGGGGGGGACACAAGGGGGAACAAAGATTTATTAAAGGGGGAACACATGGTCACGGACCATAGAGCCCTGACAACACAAGGCCTGGGAAGGGATATGCCTTAACAACTCGAGCTGTGGGTGAGGACCGATATGGGTTACAGAGGGTAGCTACACTCGAAGTGGGCAGAAATCTGCTGTCCGGGGGGCAGACGGGTGAAGGCAGAGGCGAAGGGGAATGTTGAAATAAGTTTTGTTTATGTTATTACATTACATCTTGTTATGCACAATGCCACCACACCCTTTTGGTAAAAGGTGCAACTAAATGTTTGTCTGGCTTCGGGGGAGACTAGGTGGAGCGGACAGACCCAGAAAATTAACTGTTCCTTTACTCCTGGGCGGAGCCTGGATTGTGTTTCCCAACACGTATACTCATGCTAGGTGTATTGTAACCACATAAAGAGGGGGACTAGACACGGGACATACCCGGTATATGTGAGGACGCCCACCTATCGGGCACGTTCCTCCTTTTATCTCTCACACCCTTCAATATACCATGCTCTTCGGGACCACAGGCCCTAGTTTCTATACTCACTAACTTTCTCTTCACTCCTACCAACTCTTCCTTTTCCCCTCTTATCCATCTCACACTGATCTGTGTCGGGGGCACGAGATCCGCCCGGCGGCTTTAGAGGAGTGGGGGAACCCCCGGACACCGAGACAACTTTAAAGGCCTATCATTGATACGCTGAAGGGATGGCCTATCGTAACACGCCCCTGGGTGTCCTCACCCTAAACTGCAGGGGCCTAAATATACCTGAACGCAGTACTCAACTGCTGAGGGAGTTGAGGAAGAAACACACTCACCTGCTGAGGGAGTTGAGGAAGAAACACATTGCAGTTATCATGCTCCAGGAAACCCACTTCAAAGAGGGAGCGGCACCTAGGCTACGAAACAAAGTAACCCAAGTAACTACTTTTGCAACCACCCAACAGCCCGCAAAGCTGGAATGGCTATAGTGATAGCGGCTGATCTTGAATTCAGAGTTAGAAAGGGCACAAGACCCACAGGGTCGATACCTCTTCCTCAAGGGGGTCGTCGCTGAGAGAGTTAACATGCTGGCGACCATATATGTTACCAACTGGAGGCAAGCTCCCTTTCTCCAAAAAGCTTTGCACCGTCTGGAGGAATTTACACACGGAATATTGCTTGTGGGAGGGTTCTTTAACGCCCCCCTAGACCCAACGCTAGACTCATCCTCGGGACACAGCTGTCTGTTACAACGTAGCATCAGAACCATACGACAATCACTGGGTGCAATGAGACTAGTAGACTGCTGGAGAACGCTCCACCCATCTGTTAAGGATTATACACATTATTCCTTATTCCATAACCGATATTCCCGCATAGACTACCTCTTCATCAAACAAGAGGCACTCTCTCGCCTAATGAATGTCGCCATTGATCCAGCCACCTGGTCAGATCACGGTTTGGTCAGGATGGAGTTGGAATCCCTCTGACCCTCTGCTTGGGCTTGGAGGCTCAACGATGCGCTACTACTGGATCCTGAGACCAGGGAACAGATAAATCAAGACCTGGAACGCTACTTTCAGGAAACCGGCTCACCGGAGACGTCCCCGATATCAGTGTGGGAAGCACACAAGAGTGTCATCCGTGGTATACTCATACCGCATCACAAAAGCGGAAGGCGACTATGCTTGAGATGACCGACTTATATCAATCAATATCAACTCTGGAACGCCAACACAAGCGATCGCAATTAAACGAAACATATGATGAGAAAATGGAACATGGGAGAAAGCTGAAGGACCTCATTATAAGACGGCATCTTCGATCCCAGCAACGCACGAAGGGCTTTTACTATGCTCACTCTAAAAAGGGGGGGCAAACACCTAGCAAGACTACTGAAAGGTACAGTGCCCCGCACACAAATTCACAAATTGCGCTTTGCATCAGGGGACATGACACAATTTCCACAGGAGATTGCAGAGGAATTCAGGAATTTCTACAAGGCCCTTTATAACGTATAGCCGCCCACGGACAATGACCAAGACATGCGCAAACACACCCTGGTGCAGGACTACCTACTCAATACGGTTACGACCGGGATCAACCAGGACTCAGCGACAATCCTGGACTCGCCAGTCAGCACGGAGGAACTAGCCGCGGCTCTAAAAAAACAGCCAAATCTGGCAAAGCACCAGGCCCAGATGGTTTCTCCACTGGATACTATAAGAACTTCTCAGGACTGTTGTTACCATGGTTGACGAAAGCGATCAATGCCGTGGGTGAGGGGGGGAGTTTTGGTTCAGAATCTCTAGCGGCGGCGACTAACAGTTCTGCTTAAACCGGGGAAGGATCCGACGATTTGCAGCAGTTACCGTCCGATATCCTTGTTAAGCATAGACACTAAACTGTTCACAAAAGCCTTGGCGACCAGACTCAAACAC